AGTTTATTTTCCGAATGTCATTTACATGCTGTATACATATATTTCCTGTGATCACTTTATCTAGTTACCTTAATTTATGATCAACCTATACCGTATATCTCCAATTACCTCTCGGGAGAATCAATAAAAGACGTTGCTTTTACAAGCTGTCATGGAGGTGAGGCAGCGACTAGAGGTGCTGCTTCCCAGTTGCTCCTTTTGACGATGAATTGAACAGTGCTCGTGGTCATTCCATAGAGCTCCTGAATTGAAGCCAGCGCACTCTGAAACAGTTGATCAATGCCCTCTTGCTGTTTCACCTGAACATATTTATATCAAATGCGAATTTCGAATTATCATAATATCTTAAAGGAATCTTCCACGGAAAAAGCTCCGCCCTCATTACCACAGAAAACGATACCTTAAAGGAATCTTCCACGGAAAGAGTGATCATTTTGTCTTGTGTGTAGGATTAGTATTATCGAAACTAACGCTTATGTTCCGTTCTTTTTGCTATGCTCATGAGGCTAGGGGCCTAAGGTATCGTTTTTCTGTGGTAATGGAGGCGGAGCTTTTTCCGCGGAAGATTCCTTTAATAATGAAAGTTCAGGACAGAAGCGCGCTGGCTTCACTGTGTGTCGAAGAACGGTCACCTCTTCTATCAATAAAGTTGCCCGAGAAGTTCCTGAGGAAGCATTACTCCTCGAAACTCAATCTGGATTTCAACGTGAACAGGTGGGTTCTATCGGAAGGAATTGTACGCAAATTACTTCATTCCTTCTGTTTCCTTTCCTTGCAATAAGAGCGCTACTGAACCTCCTTTCCATTTGTACATAGAATACTGTGTCAAAGGTTCACTACTTGTTTAGATTAGTGAATACAAAGGACGTCGGTATGACACTGATGGACCTAGCTACCATGGGCTTTGAAACTACTCCAACGATTGAGCAAGAAGAGACACGTGAGCTTGCCTTCCTCACCTTTCATGACAGCTACCGAAATTGTAGAGGCAAATAATATAATATTTAGTCCAAGGAGCTTCATTCCTGAGAGCTGCGCATGCAGTTTATCGTTCATGCGATGACGCCAACATTCCTCCACATTCATGTCTTTGCATGGATGAGAAGACTCTGCTGTCCGAGCAGTACACCAAGTTTGTTGTATTACGATCATTATACCAGACAATAGGAACAATGGTATTTCACAGAAGCTATAAAAGCGAAATTTCTAGACAAATTGACACTATTGAAGATGCGCATTTTTAACACTTTTGCGGGTGGGCGCGCAGAAATTCAACTAAAATTTTGGAAACTGATGAAGCCAAAACTGAAGCACCATGATAACAATGCGGATTGAGAAGGGAAACGGGTCATTTATTACATGAAGAAGGAGAACACAACAAGAACCTCAATTATCTGCTACAAGAAATGATCTGCGAAGTTTCATGTAGGCGGTAGACTGCAGCTCGCATGCTGCATGGGACCCAAAGTGTTAGTGAATATGTAGTATATGGTTCCATCATTTATGGAGCTTTGAGCCGTATGGCGCCGCAGCAGATAAATTTTCCATCGAAACTCCCAAAATTCACTGGGATCATAAAGATTAGGTGCTGTCCAGTAGGGGCTTACTCAGGGTCCAGTCCCATTTTTCTGCGTAGCAGTAGTATTGTGTTAGTTGAGCAGGTGTGTTCATTACCTTTCCTACCCTGAGGAAAGCGGAGTTGAATTCAAATAAAGTGACATCACAACAATTTGTGAAGTGATAACGCTCAAGTCCTCCAATTAGTTTAGGTCATTAGAGCTAGCGGTGCTCGCATACTTGTTATAGGTTGGCTTAGATTTCGAATCTTCAAAGAGCCAGGTCAAACGTCCATCGGCCTGAACGGGAAAATTCGCCACGTAAAGCTCCTGCAGCTGTTAAAGGCACAACCCAGCAGAGGTCGTGTGAACGCTTCTCTTCGGTCTGTAGTATAGACCCTAGAGGACAATCACAAATGTGGCGTTCTCGTGCACGGAAACCAACCGATAAGAGCGCTTGGGCCTTGCAAAGTAAGCTGCCCAAGCTGCAGACTTTTTTCTCTTATCAGACTGTTGTCTGGCGATCTCTCATCTGTAGCGCTCTCTCGCCCCATACTCTCCTCCGCGCTTAGTCTCTCATTCCCTTAGCACAGCCGATTAGGAAGGTGAGTGAGCCCTTAACCTAAGCGTTTTTGACGGATTCTTTTCCTTTTTTCTTTACTGCCGGTCCACTTCCCACCAGTACCTTCGCATTCGTGTACAAGAGCCACACCAATGTGATCCTGGGTGCCTTTGCAAGCAACAGTCAAAACAGGGGGGCGTGGTCGAAACGATGCAAGGGTCAACCCTATCGTTGTTACTCTTTGGAAATTTTTTACGACCCCCCCTTCATGGGTGATTTGATACGACCCCCCTTGTATGTGACACTTGTGTAGAGACAGTGTTTACCATCAATATTTATTTCTACGTAAGTCATCAAAGATGAAACTTTAGCAAAATCCACGACAGATATTCATCGCTGCTTCCAAACACGAAAAAATGAGATGCATTCAAAGATATCCGTGTACTCCAAAGGGTTACCAAACTAGGAGATGAAATAAACTGAACCAGTGACCGGAATATTGACAATATTACCTGATAAAAACTTATGAGAAGTCAGAAAAAATTCGCTCCAATTGAAATACTGAAATCCTTCACGTTCTTCAATTGCAACACAATTTTTACACCCCTCTTTCTAAGGCTATAACTTCCTTCATATTCGAGCTTCTGCGCCGAAGTGATTTGATTTGGAAAATTCAAATTATTCTCTCTCCAACCATGGGTAAAAATTCTTCGAAAGTTAATTTAATAAAAATTTAGTACGTTGTTACTTTTTTCTGTGCAAAGCGACTTTTTGACCTTCAAACGATCATAACTTCCTTCAAAGTCATTCATTTGGGAAGCTGAACACGTATAATAAACTACAGGATTCAAGCTTTCTAACGAGCACCCAAGCGTTCCTGAAATCAGTAGTTTATTTTTTTTTGGGGGTTTGCGTTACTATTTTTTTGGAACCGCGACTTTTTTACCTTCAAACGATCATAACTTCCTTAAAAATTCATTCATTTGGGAAGCTGAACACGGTATAATAAACTACAGGTTTCAAGCTTTCTAACGAGCACCCAAGCGTTTCTGAAAGATCAGCAGTTCAAAAATTAGTCCCGTTGTTACTTTTTATTTTGAGGGGTATTCTTCAAGCCATTTTCTCGAAAACGCGAGTTTTCTTAGGTTTCACTGCCCGTAACTTCTTGGAAGACCAATTTTATGTTTAATTAGGATGTGCTAGAAAGCTTCGAGCATGCGCTTGCACTACATCCCTTGCCTTGGTGCGCGCCACGCCTCGGGCGCCCTTCTAATTCGCTGATTCATTTGAAAGCTCATTTAGAGGGAATCGTGGTTTATAGATGCTCTAGTATCAGTCATCTTACGAAAACGTAACGTGCTGGCTATTATCCGATATTACCAAGAATCCCACTGTCGGCCACCGAGAGGGTACGACCCCCCTCCCTCCAAGCTCAACTGAGTACGACCCCCCCGTTGTTACTCGTAACAACGTAGGGTTGACCCTGCTGCAACCCCTCGGCCGATTCCGCACTTCAGCTCGCTCTAGCGACTTTCCGAGGCGGCTCAGTCACACTTCCTACGTTCTTGACTAGGGGCTGAACAGCTCCGAAATGGGAATCGAGCGAGGCGGATTTGCCCATGCCGTTTCCAACCACGTCACCCTGCTGGGGACTGTTGCCTTACAAGTGAACTTTCTCCATCCCACGTATTTTCATGGAGCCTACCAGCTCTGGCAGCACCATCGTTCACCACAATTTCACATTTTTCTCGATGTTTTCGCTGCTGTCCGAAATCGAATAACAAGTCCTGAGCGGAAGAGCATCCACCCTAGCCCGCATCTCGACTACCATGTGCAGGCACGGCTCAGTCAGGTGCGTAGCGCTCGCTGAGTGGCTGCAGCCACAGGAGATGAGTTTATGAACTATACGAATGAAGGAAATTCAATCGCTGTGGGCAGATGCACGACGATGGCCCTTAAGTTAGCTGTCAACAGCCAGTCCTGTAGAGCTAGCTTGAGTGTAGAGTGGATCGGTACATGTGTAATGCTGCGCACCCAAACTCGTGGGCAATAAAGCCACCATCAATAAACATTATCGTTTCCAGTGACACTGCGGGGATTTCCATCAAGCTATTCCAAAATTATGAAGCAGAAATTCTCAAAAACGAATGTCTCGAAAACGTCACTGAAGCTCCCGAACACCATACACTCAACATACTGTCACTTAATGCGATGGTCCAACAAGGAGTCAAAAATGAAAACGAGTAAGCGTGGACTTTTACTTATTTTTCATCTCAAGAGAGGCAGTCTGTTCCCTATTTTTAACAGCTGTTCTATTTTTGTTATACGTTCATATAAAAAAAGCTGTCAAAGTTTGGAAGCTTTCCTATTTTTATTCTGGCGCGGCCAGTGAACAACTAAGTTGTCGCACAACTACAGGGTACCCGACAGGAGGCCCATCGTGCGCAAAAAAGATCGCAGAGACCAAACGGGTCAGCGGACGAGTCACAACGGTCTGCTAGTAAATGCGTGTCAGTTTCAGATGTTAAATGTACCACTGAACGCCACACATCACACAGCACGGGCTCTCACTCGTCCACTGACCCGTTTCGACTTTGCCTTATGGCTGCGCGACGGGTTCCTGTCGGGTACTCCACAAACACAGTATAGGCAAATCACGTGCAGAACACGATGTGTACAATAGTTCCCCGAGACCTGAAAAATTTCTGAAAAATACGATTATATCTGCATATTTTGTTAATTTCACTAATATTATTAAGTATCATATAATAATCAAATGATGTTCACCGTAACCAAGAAACAACTTCTACAGGGGAGGTTTGTCTAATCCACTCCGGAAAACAGAAAGAACTCGCTAGATTAATCTCCACGAAAGTCTATTGTCATTTTTGAAGTTATAAGGGTCGAGCAAATGGGCAAATAAAGAGACGAGCTCACACGAACGGCCTCGCTAAAGACCAGCTTTTCTCAAGAACTCGGAGGATGGGCGACTTCGTCTTGTCTCTCGAGGACCATATCAACAAGAAAACGGTTTTCTCGAGTTTTCTATCGAGGAAAATAAAAGTATACCTCAGCGACGAGCTGGATTTCTGCCTTCTTGAAAGTGATTTTGTAAATTCAATCAGCGTCATGTCAAGGAGAAACCTAATTTTGGGTATCAGAGTCAAAAAAAGGAAGTGTTGGCATAGATGAGGATGTGTCACGGGCATTCGGCGATTTCCGCTTCCTTACAAAGGGAAGGATACCAGGTCGAAGTGGCCATTTGTAACGAGACATACACCACTAGATGTTTTTGGACGCTGATCTCGAATCTGCTCTCCAAATCTGCGAAACGATTCTCCGAACGTAGTTATGAAGCGAAATAGTGCAGTGGCAGCGGCCTGGGCCGTCGAGCAAGAGGTCGCGAGATCGTATTCTTGGCGAGTTCTCACTTTTGCTTTTCTTGAAAACATTGTTTAAAGAACTCTCATTGCTAAGTTTTCCCATTTTCCAGCGGGGGGAATCGCCTATCATACAAGTATGGAAAGAGGCGTAGGTGAAGTGCTTCGAACACTGCGCCTCATTTGCAAATGACCGTCTCTGGCAGCCGTAGCGCACATGTCATGCACTTTCTTGCCAAGTAAGTGTGACTTTCGTGTTCAGCGCATCAAACTACCCCTTCCGACAACTTTTGGTCCAAATCCAAAAATTTGACCTAAAGTCGAAAATGTGGGCACACAACGACCGACAGGACACGGCAAATGACGCGCACAGTGTTCGAAGCTCTTTGCCAGCTCTTCCCACTTATAGGATAGGCAGTCGCTGATTATTTAGCATGCATAGAAGTCCTTTGAACAATGTTTTCAAGAAAAGCAGCTGAGAACTCGCCAAGAAGTCGATCTCACGACCTCTTGCTCGTCGGCCCGGCCGCCACTGCACTATCTCGCTTCATAACTACGTTCAGAGAATCGTTTCGCAGATTTGGAGAGCAGATTCGAGATCAGCGTCCAAAAACACATCTAGTGGTGTATGTCTCGTTACAAATGGCCACTTCGACCTGGTATCCTTCCCTTGTCAGAGCAGCGAAATGTGGCCGGTAGCTAATTTTTTATGTGAATTGAAGAGGTACTGCGTTGAATTCGCTTTGGTTCAATTATGATACTCTCGGGAAACTATGTTGTCCACCGTATTCTGCACTCTTGTATGAAATATCGACAACAAAAACCTTGCAAACTTCTGACCGCTACTGTATAGGTATGTGGTTCCATCATATAATGTAACTTTTTTTGCTTCTTTACATTCTGGGCTTAGCCTGAAGCATTGGCAAAAATACTGCTGAGCAATAATCTGAATAATCATAAAATTGCCAGAAATTTGATGATGGTGACCACCTGACTCGGTATGACCATATTTAAGACACATAAGAAATGAGTTGATAGCTTTTGCAAGCAACTGCGGCCCAAAGCGCTCGTGCAGCGAGAACGGTAAAATCTAATACTAGAGTTTTCGGCCTGCGGTCCACTGCCAGTATCGGCTAAGCGGTCTATCATGTTATGCGTGTGAATGCTGAAAGTAGATGAAAATTTACCATCCGACTTACGGTTAACGAGTCGCCCGGTGGTAAGTGGTAGACATTCGCTCGGAAAACAAGAGATACTGGCACGATTCTCGCCTGGGGCTGGAAGTTTTGCCTACAATCCAGCGTTTTTGCGAGTAACATTCACGTTGCAAACTGAACATAAAACAGCAGTTATCCAATAAAAAGACGTCAACACGCACATCGTGGCCTCAAAAGTACTCCATTAACACTGAAATCATCCTGTAAGATCGACATCTTGTGTATTCGCTACCCAAAATGCTTTGATGTGAGGTGATAGTGCCGTGCTCACAGAGCCATCTCTCGATCCTGATACTATCGTTGTTACTCTTTGGAAATTTTTTACGACCCCCCCCTTCATGGGTGATTTGATACGACCCCCCTTGTATGTGACACTTGTGTAGAGACAGTGTTTACCATCAATATTTATTTCTACGTAAGTCATCAAAGATGAAACTTTAGCAAAATCCACGACAGATATTCATCGCTGCTTCCAAACACGAAAAAATGAGATGCATTCAAAGATATCCGTGTACTCCAAAGGGTTACCAAACTAGGAGATGAAATAAACTGAACCAGTGACCGGAATATTGACAATATTACCTGATAAAAACTTATGAGAAGTCAGAAAAAATTATCGCTCCAATTGAAATACTGAAATCCTTCACGTTCTTCAATTGCAACACAATTTTTACACCCCTCTTTCTAAGGCTATAACTTCCTTCATATTCGAGCTTCTGCGCCGAAGTGATTTGATTTGGAAAATTCAAATTATTCTCTCTCCAACCATGGGTAAAAATTCTTCGAAAGTTAATTTAATAAAAATTTAGTACGTTGTTACTTTTTTCTGTGCAAAGCGACTTTTTGACCTTCAAACGATCATAACTTCCTTCAAAGTCATTCATTTGGGAAGCTGAACACGGTATAATAAACTACAGGATTCAAGCTTTCTAACGAGCACCCAAGCGTTCCTGAAGATCAGCAGTTCAAAAATTAGTCCCGTTGTTACGGGGTTTGCTCTTTGGTTTGACGAGTAGTTGCTTTCAAAAAAATAAAAAAAAAAAAGCGCCATTCCCCGAAAACGCGGGTTTTCTTAGGTTTCACTGCCCGTAACTTCTTGGGAAGACCAATGTCATGTTTAACTTAGGATGTGCTAGAAAGCTTCGAGCATGCGCTTGCACTACATCCCTTGCCTTGGTGCGCGCCACGCCTCGGGCGCCCTTCTAATTCGCTGATTCATTTGAAAGCTCATTTAGAGGGAATCGTGGTTTATAGATGCTGTATCAGTCATCTTACGAAAACGTAACGTGCTGGCTATTATCCGATATTACCAAGAATCCCACTGTCGGCCACCGAGAGGGTACGACCCCCCTCCCTCCAAGCTCAACTGAGTACGACCCCCCGTTGTTACTCGTAACAACGTAGGGTTGACCCTGTTCTCGTCCCGCGTGGCAAAACAAACGGTCGGATGTGCAAAACGATCAGTGACATCATGACTGGGATATCGCGTTATGGAGCGTTCGGATACTTGCTAATGACTGCCATATCACACGATTTGGAAATTAGAAATTCTGCCGGCTGTTTTCAGGGAAGGAAGCGGCGACTGAATTACACCGCTGATCTGGCATGAACTACGTCGACATCGTTGTCATGGTTTACCCAATTGCCAAAAGCAGTGACACAAAAAAGGTATGCAATTCATAATTCATTCATATTGATATTTTTGTAGAGAGGTACCAGGACCTTAGGACGTTATGGTTGATGCAATTCAGGTGAACTTCACAGCTCAGATGCGATTTCGAAACAGCTCGAGGGTAGGATTTGAACCGGTGGGGGCTCCATTCATTCACAAGCCAAATCACAGATGTCATACACATCGAGTGGACAAGTACTGTGAAATGTGTGTTACTACAACCGACTGGTGACTCCGTAATTTATTGTGGTATTAAATGCTGGCTCTCCAAAAAAAGTAACTTGGAGAGTGCCTACTTCTTTGAAAATTTCTACTGGAGGCAGTGCGAGGCCCCATCGCCCACTCTCAGCGCACGCGGCGATGGTCATTCTTCGGTAGTTTTTTTTACAATACACTTACGAGGGGAGGTCGTTCAGGGCGTGGAGCGCTTTCTCAAAATGGTTTTTCCTATGATATAGAGGGATGTGCCTGGAATACAGAACTGTGGTCCATTTCCGCTAAATGGCCCACTGAATGCCAAAAAAGGGTGGGAAAGTGGTCCTTGGTTCGATTCCCCGCGGTGACAAAATTTTTGCACTGTGATTTGACGCCACAAAATTGGCACCGAAGAACGCCAACACCAGCAATTGATGTCATAATTACAATTAGGCTTACAAAAACCCTTACAAGTGGGCTTTTACCAAAAACTGGTGAGAGAAAGTTGTGACGCAAAAACTTCACCAAGGTGCCGTCGAAGAACGTCATAGGGGCCCGAAATGATGTCGGAGCTGGAAACGAATATTGGATTCGTGAATCAGGGCACCTGATAACCCTTCTAGTCGATGTTTCTAAGAAAATCAAGATTTTGGCCCGACTTCGAAAATTTGCTAGATGGATAAGTAAACTCTGTGGCACGTAAAGCTCGACGGTGAACTTCTTGGAAATGACATCATCTAGATAGTATTCAAAAGATGAGACATGCTCCTGCCGAATAGACTATAGCAGACAAGCAAGCTGGTGTTGGTCGGAGGGTCACCACAGTGCAGTAGTTTTCTGCCAGTTTTCCGTGCGGAGCTCGCCTCCGAGCGAGTGGGAATACTTGAAGATTTACTTATGTCAAGTTTTCAAAGTTAGGCCAAAGATGCCAAAGATGATTTTCTTCGAAACGTTGGCACCAGAGGTAAATTGGTGCTCTTGTCACGAATGTGGTATTGTTTTTTGGAGCCGCCGCTATCCGGCGAAATTCCAACGGTACAACTTTTTTTTGCCTGCTTTCGGTGAAAACTTACCTAATCTGGGTTATCAATAGTTCTGGTCTTGAGTAACACATCCATTTTGACACCTGTGCTATTTGGAGAAAATCGTGAAGTGCCTACAAAGAATGCAAAAAGCCCGACGCCTCGGGGATCCGAACCACCAACCCAGACCAAGCGTGCCAATCGAAATCCGCATCGCTAACCACTACACCACCGACGCTGCTGGAGGATGTTGGCCAAATGCTCTTATGGAACTTCCACACGCTCTTTAGTACACAGCATGACATCCACCACGACAACTTTCCAATTTTGACCAAACTTCTCGATGTTTTCGAGACACACCTTACGAAGACCCTCCATTACGCAAGTAGTCCACGCCATGAATGAAACACACCACTTTTAACAAGTAAAAACTGCAGTTTCCAACAAAATGATTCTCACTCCTTTTTTGGCATTCAGAAGGCCATTTAGCGGAAATGGACCATAGATCTGTGTTCACTGCACCTGCCCCTATTTCATGCAAAAAACCGTTTTCAATAACTTAACTCTGCTCTCTATCTCCTTTTCTGGTGATACGTTTTATTTCCTCCCCTCGTTTAGAGACATTTTATTGAATTTGCTCGAATCATAATGCATTTGTAATATTATGATCTGCTGCCATTTTGGTTTTTCCCTTCGAAATGAGACCAGATGGCCAACACGGAGTGCCAAATGTTGACCAAATCCTCCGTTTAGAGGCTTCATGTTGTTTTCTCTGATAATCAGAAACAGCAGTAGTTAATTTGTAGTAATCCAATTATACATTTTGTTTAGCCCTTGAACTAGTCAGGTGTGGAAGGTGGTGGGTGTCGGTAGTGGTCTGTTGTTTTTGTGTGTTGGGGTGGGGGGGGGTGAAGCGGGTCCTATCGAGGTATGTGTGCGGAATATTGAATTTTCGATCGCGATAGCAGGATGTTTACGTGTTAGGAAGATCGTATCCAGAGCATGTCGGGCGGGTGTGAGAGTAAGCGCGCGTTGCCGGAGGGGGGAAGAGAGAGTCGAGGTGCGGGGTCGCGCGGCGGAGTTAGTAATGGCTGGGGAGACCGCGTACGGTGCGGCGGGTCGAGAGCGGTTTGAGCTGCGAGAGGAGTGGCCTCGAGGGCGTATGGGGCTCCAAGATCGGGGGTCTCGGTGGAACGGAGTTATGAAGCAAGAAGCGCGGGGAGCGGGGGTAGTTTGCTCGGCGGTCTTGGCCAGGTGGGAAAGGGGGTGGTGGGGATTGGGTTCTTTAAAAGGGCCTGTGTTTATTTTTACAATGTCGGAGTGGTGAGGAGAGAAGGGTGGTTGTGTGGTGGAAACGTCGTTGGGATGTAGAGAGCCTTGCTGTGGCGGAGGTAGTGCGCTGGCGGAATGAAGTGTGCGAGGCATTGGCCACAGAGGCGTGGGTGTGAGGTCCGAGGAGACCGGACACTACACTGCGCGTCTTTCTTTGATAACCCGTTCAGAAGATCGGCGTTTGCAGAGCGGAAGCGTTTCTGTTTGCGTCATCATCTTGAGGCGAGTGTTAAGGGGGTAGTAAAGCTGATTAGGCGGAGGGGGGGGCCAGACGGCCTAATGTATCTTGTTGCTGTCACGCAATATACCTCCGGCCGTGTAGTGTATTGACATTTCGCCTCAGGCGAGCGTGTGTAGACCTTTGCCGCTAGGAGTAATGGAGATGCCTTCAGACGAAATGACAAGGCACTTTTCAGCCGGTGGCATCATCTGGCGCGCCAGTGTGGCGGCACTAGTCACGACCCTTGTTTTGCCAATATGGTGGTAGACTGTTCTTCTCATAGGAGGTCATTTTGGCCCTGATTAAGTGCCCAAAAATGAACAGTTCCTTGTGTGGGCAGTGGCCGGTGCTCCACCATATGTCACGAATTCTATTCATGGGAGAGCGCGAAGGAGCAGAGAATTGGCGTTATGTACGCTGCGCTAAGAATTGAATATCATATTTCTAATCGGGACAACAAATAACCTCTAGACGGGAGGTTACACCAAATTTGGAGAAAACATTTGTCGTTGAAAAGTGTCGCCAACTGGCGCCAGGTGGCGCAAGGGCAAAAAGGGAATGCGATGTTGGCGTTTTAATGAGAACATTCGAAGTTACCTCTAAAGGGCTGGAAGTTCACCGGTAACCCTAGGCTGCGGCGAGTTACGACTGCACGAGTGAAGGTTGTTCTTGACGTGAAATTGGCGTAGGAGTTTGGCGGATTCTTACCGGAAACTAGGGTCATTGCCTCGGTTTGCGGCAGCAAATTTTTTTGTATCTGAATTAGGTTGCAATGGTACATGAGATAAGCTTTGTATGCGAGCCAAAGAGTCGAATAGATAAATTGTGACAGTCTCTAGCACCGTACTTTTTTTTTAATCTAAATACAAACCCCTATAAGACAGACGCTCAAGGGTCAGTCACTTGAGAGAAGGTCTTGACTGCCGTAATGTTTTCTCGTAATGTTCAAAGAGCGGATACGTGTCTTTACAATCTCACAAACTGCTCATTACTTGAGTTAGCCATGGATGGTGGCGTTGGGTTATGATAAAGAGCAGGAGAGCATGCGCCCTCCTCGCATTTTTGCCCTCTTCCGCTCCTTCTGCCCAACCTTGCGCTTCGACGAAGCTCCGTTGTCGCCGTATCGTGTCTACAATCGGTCTCAGAACCAAAACAGTTGCACTTCTAATGCTGTACACTTAAGAATTCCATTTTCTCGTTTGATTGCATTTCGTGCGGCTTCAGTGTGTGTATGTACATTTGGGTGGTCGTGGTGGGGTCGCTCTTCTACGTCCGCTTCTAAGTTTCGATTCTTTTATTAAAGGAGGAATTCACGATTAGAATGAAGGTCGAAGAAAGGGAAACTGACCTAGTTGAGGGACCCACGGACCTCCTGAGGGTGCGAACTGACGCGCAATTCGCATGGAAAAATTTGACCTCGGCGACCTATCATGCCTCAAAGCTGGCGGGTCCGGCGATCTCCGCCCACCGATCATCTGATCACTCGCCGTAGTTCAATACGTGCGTGGGGAGTGATTAGATAGCCGAGAGAGCGGAGTTGTGAAGAGGGCACAAGCGGATGTAGTGAGTTTTGGATAAACGCTCGAAGTCAACGCGGCAAGAAAGGGGGGTACATTTGCTGGGTTACTGGCAGTTTGTCTCTATGGTTCTTCTTTCGCGTGTACGCTGCAGGCCATCCGTAGGTTAATGGTTGAAAGGGTGCTTTTCATTCGTGGAATTTCGTCCTTTTAAAAAACAACCTTTTTCGTGCTTGGAGCGGGCCTTTTTTTTAGCAATACTATTTATTATGGCTGATCGATAATTATGGTAATTTTGATGTGAGCTGCATTTATTCCATATAACATGGATGGCGTAGTCGGTAGTTGACTGTGTAGCAGTTAATACCGTACGTGGATATGGGAACTGAAGCGCCCAAGGCGATCATAGGGAGGTCGAAAACAGGGCCAACACGGAAAGATCCGCGAATGCGAACCCCTATCTGACAGTCAACCATGGGGAGAACCGAGGGAATAGACCTCAAATCTCCGCGTGACACAGTGGCCATCTCAGGACAGTTAGCTGCCAACGTGACGAGCATCCATATTCGGTATCCCATCACAGCCTAAATACATTTTTTTATAACAATCCCGCGAGTGTGTGAAT